CTATTATCAAGAAGGAAGAAATCGGAGGCACTAACAACTCTCCCCAATTCAGTTCCAATCTGAGTCAAAAGACTCTCTGCCAGCCACACAGAACCGAGTATTGACTACAGCTCTTTCTATTGTCCTGCCGCTTTCCCCTGGCAGAAGTCAGAGCTAGGCAAAGCCAGGTCTAGAATCAGTGTTCGTTTCTGCCCTGCAGCGAGCAGGATGGGGTTCCTGCCTGGGCACAAGGGACTAGACCCCAGAGAGAAAAAAATCAAGACATCTAACAGAAGGAATGAAGTGACAGAGGCTTGCTTTTGCAAGGGGGAACAGGCAACAAGATAAATGCAAAGGAAAATAAAACCGACTTCGAGAAGCAGCCAGCATCATTTGGGATAAAAATCATGGTACTATGGGGACGGGGAAAAGGGGACCCACATCTCAGGCCCCACCTCTGTACATTCCCCTCCTCCCACTGCGCACACCCCAACACACTGACCTTTCGATGCGGAGGGGTTTAAAGAATCTGAATCGGATGAAGTCTCCTGCCATGGGGGTGAATGCCCAGAAGAAGTCCTCTCTCAGGTAGGCTTTCTCCAGGGTAAAGTGTTGGTAGGTTTTCAGGCTGGTGCTCACCTCTGCCGGAGGGTTGACGTGCTCTTTTCGCAGGGCCTGCTTGCCAAAGTCTTTGTCCTCAACGCAAACCGAGAGGGAGGTCTCACACAGGGCTTTCATTGAGTGAGAAATACACCCAATGTCCAGCCTTAGGGACACACAGATTCCAGGCTCCAGCATCCCCATGCCAAAGCAGCAGTGCAGTATTTACAGACTGTGAGATGTAAGCTGGTTTGGAAAGGGCATGAGGAACAACAGCGCCCTTGGGGCATTTGGGGGAGTGGATCCCCCAGGAATACACAAAGGGGAAATCATCACCATTATAGGCACTGTGGCAGCATATAGGAGCCTCCATAAGGGTATGTCTAGACTGCATCCCTCTGTCAGCAGAGGGATGCAGATTAGGCAGGTCGACATTGAAGCAGGGATTTAAATATCCCGCGCTTAATTTGCATCTAAAGGGCCGTCATTTTTGCTGACTCGGCACGGTCAGCAAAAAGAGGCAGCCTAAGAGGGGAATCTGTCGAGAAAGAAAGCCTTTTTCGACAGATCCCTTATGCCTCCTGCAAGGAGGTTTACAGGATCTGTCAAAAAAGGCTTTCTTTCTCGACAGATCCCCCTCTAGACTGCCACTGTTTGCCGACAAAGTGCTGACTCAGCAAAACATGGTGGCCATTTTTATGCAAATTAGGCACCGGATATTTAAATCCCTGCTTCGTTTGCAACGTCAACCTGCCTAATCTGCCTCCCTCTGCCGACAGAGGGATGCAGTCTAGACATACCCTAAGAAACCAGAGCCCCATGGTAGTAGGTACCATACGAACATACACAACCCCAAAAACCTTACATAAGAACGGCCATACTGGGTCAGACCAACAGTCCATCTAGCCCAGTATCCTGTCTTCCAACAGTGGCCAATACCAGATGCCCCAGAGGAAGGGAACACAACAGGTAATCCTCACATGATCCCTCCCCTGTCACCTATTTCCAGACAAGCCAAGGAAAACCTTCGTTAATCTGGGTCAAATTCTGTGCCAGTAATTGAGTTATATCAAAGAATGATGGGAGTTATATGGACTGGATCATACCATATATTTATATACAGTGATCTCTGTATCAGTTACAGAGCCATACTTAAGGGCAAATCGTGCTTCTCACACTTAACATATACACTTCATGAAAAAAAAAAAATCAGCGCCACTACTTTCTAATTGATTTTGATAAAATTTAAATGCCCCCCTCCCATACAAATTTACACTCTCAAGAAGTGGGCCTTAATTTGCCTAAAAATAAAAACCAAGAATCAGATAAAACACCGCAGCCCGGACTGTGACATGACAGGAAGCTGTACTACAAGTTACAGTTCTGTGGTGATGCTCAAGATGGAAGGTTAAGTACCTCCAGCCTTTGGAAAAACATGAAAAACAGCTGTCATCCTCAACCTTGCTTTAAGTACATTATGGCTCTGAAGCCCTGCGACAAACAGGATTAGGGAAACCTGGCTAGTGAATGTGTCCTAACTTCTTTATTTAGGGCTCCGGGCACTGCTTCGAGACCTGGTTTTCTGACTGATTTCCTTCCAACACATTTTAAAATCTTCATTATCTCTGGAAGTAAAAACATTCCTCTTCTGTTCAGTGCCTCTAAAATGCCCTGCCTAAAGAGTCAGAAAAGTCAAACTCAACTGAATCTATGAATTTGCATTACATCCCCCACCAAACATAGGGATGTAAGCGACAAGCTGACTACCTGATGAGCATCTTGGGTAGTCAAGTAGTGACTTGACCAGCTGCTCCCCCACCCCTTTGCTTACTATCAGACAGAGACAGTAAGGAGCAGGGGGTGGGGAGGGGGAGCAGGAGCTAGTGCTGAGGGGAGCCAGCTTAAAAGCCAGTTTCCCCACTGCACTGTCTCAGAGGGGTGAGGAACAGGAGCAGAAGAGGTATAGCTAAGACCATGGACGAGCTGGGACAGCTGATTCCCGGCCCACTCCCAGTCCCCCCACTGCACCTCTGCCTTTTGTATGTATGAAGAGCCTGGCAGCCTGGCAGCTTTTAATATGTTTAAAAGGCAGAGCTGCAGCAGGGCTGGCTTCCGGCCCGGGAGCTAACCACACTGCAGCTCTGCAGTTCTCCCCATTATCCACTAATCAAGTAGTCAATGGAATTTCCATCAATTACTCGATTAGCTGATTACACGCAATTTAACATCCCTCCCACAGCATTCACAAGCAGCATTTAGTTACAGATAGACTGCATGGCAACCAGCAGTCCAGTAATGAAGGGAAGAAAAGGAGAGAGCGGGGCAGCTTACTAAAGGCGTCTAAAAGATTCATCTAACATTTGCTGAACTGGAAGGTGAAAAAAACCAAAGGGGGAATAGAGACGTTGCCGCAAACAGACATCTGGCCATTAAGATACGAAACACCAAGCGTCACATCTGCTTTCCAAATGTGGCAAGTTGGCGTGTGCATGTGGATCCAGGGTGCATGAAGGACCCGACATCAGGGAGATCTTCAGGGATGGGGGAAGAAGGCAATGCCATGGGGTCAGATACGCACTTTCAATTTCTGTATCTTCCCAGCCAAGGAGGAGTGGGTTCCCACGTGCTGGAAGAGAGAGGGCTTGAAGCGGATCCTCAGGTTCGCCTTCTGCCGGTCACAATGTTTCTGAAACAAGAAAAGCCCGGTGAGAAACTCTAGCTTTTGCCTTTGTTGGCCAGCATGCCCGGATTGCCAGAAGTGGGGGAAAACAAAGGGCAGGGCACGGGGGAGAGAAGGGTGGGAAACACCCTTTAGTAGAGTGGCCTGTGATTCTGGCTTCGATTTGCAAGATAACGACTCTTGACTCCAAATTGCATCACCCCGTTTTTGACTTTTAGCTCATTAGGCAGCAGGATTTGGTGAGCTGGCCCAACCAGGAGCAATGGCACCGATGCGCTATTATTAATTCCAAGCTCCTACATTGCAAATTCTCCTCCTCGGCCAACACCACTGAATACATTTTACCATCTGCCTTATCAGTGCCCTTCTGCCTACATTTCCAGCTGTTACAAAGCAGGTCAGGCACTTTGGTTTTCCTGGAAATTCATTGCACTCCTCCCGTCTACAGTCCCTGGAGCTTCACCCATGGAAAAGCAGAGAGCTCAGCTGGTTTAGCTCTTCCTCCCAGACAACACTCCTCTCTCTTTGGGCAAACTGGGCACAAGCACCAGTAGGGCTGTCGATTACTCAGTTAACTCACATGATTAACTCTACAAAACTAATCGCAATTTTAAAAGATTAATTGCAGCTTTAATCACACTGTTCAATAGAATATCAATTCAAATTTATTTAATATTTTGGGATGGTTTTCTGCAGTTTCAAATATATTGATTTTAAAGCCAACACAATAGAAAGGGTATGATGCTCCCCTTACTTTTTTATTACAAATATTTACACTGTAAAAATGATAAAAGAAATAGTATTTTTAATCTCACCTAATATAAGTACTGGAGTGAGATTTTTTATTGTGAAAGGACAACTTTCAAATGTAGACTTCTGGTTACATAATTGCACTCAAAACAATGCAAAACTTTAGCGCCGGTAAGTCCACTCAGTTCTGCTTCTTGTTCAGCCAATCGCTAAGACAAACAAGTTTGTTTACATTTACAAGAGATAACACTGCCCATTTCTTATTTACAGTATCACCTGAAAGTGAAAACAGGCATTTGCACCAGTAGGGTGCAAGCCCACGTTGCAAGGTATTTATATGCTAGATATGCTAAACTTTCGTATGCTCTTCCATGTTTCGGCCACCATTCTAGAGGACATGCTTCAATGCTGCTGCTGCTTGTTTTTTAAAAAAATAATGCATTAATTAAATTTGCGACTGAACTCCTTGGAGAAGGACTGTATGTCTTCTGCTCTGTTTTACCCACATTCTGCTATATATTTTATGGAATAGCAGTCTTGGATGGTGGCCTAGCATGTTTGTTTTAAGAACACGTTCACGGCAGATTTGACAAAACACAAAGGAAATGACTAGTGTGATATTTCAAAAGATACAGCACTCGACCCAAGGTTTAAAGAACCGAAAGTGCCTTAAAAAGAGCAACATGCTGATGCAGAAACTACAGAACCCAAACCATCAAAAACGAAAATCAGCTGTTTGTTGGTGGCGTCTGACTCAGATGATGAAAATGAACACACTCTGTACTGCTCTGGACCGTGGTTATCAAGCACAATAGGTTATCAGCATGGACATATATTCTTTGAAATGGTGGTTGAAGCACGAAGGGACATATGAATCTTTAGGACAATTGACACATAAATATCATATGACACCAGTTACAAATCTTACCTGATAGTCAGAATAGAAGCAGACAGCATTATCTCCTGCAAATGTGAACATACTGGTTTGTCTGAGCGACTGGCTGAACAAAAAGTATGACTAAGTGGATTTATAGGCTCTACAGTTTTACATATTTTGGTTTTGAATGCAGTTATTTTTGTACATAATTCTACATTTGTACGTTTACCTTTCATAATACAAAGATTCCACTATTAACCTGTATTAGGTGAATTAAAAATAGCATTGCTTCTGTTTTTTACAGTCTGAATATTTGTAATAAAAAAATAAAGTGAGCACTGTACACTTTGCGTTCTGTGTTGGAATTGAAATCAGTATATTTAAAAACGCAGAAGACACCCAAAAATATTTAAATGGAATTCTATCATGCGATTCATCATGATTATTTTTTTCTTAAAATCCCTGGCCAGTCCTAGTTTTTAGTTTGCTCGTTGCTTTCATTAGGCACACTGCATTGTATGATTCTTTGGCAAAGCCATCTGGCCTGATTTCAAACCACCCCAACAAGAGGAGACTGAAAGTTCGGACTCTTATCTGAACTAACATTATCAGCTTAATTCTGCAGAGGAGAGTGAATGCAGAAAGGGACAGGAGAAAAACATTGTGAACATGGAGTAAAGAGGAAACCAGACAGAGAGAGAGACTGCGGAAGGGAGCAAAGGGGAGTCCTAGGGAAAAGACATTAGAGATTGGATCTCTACAGTCTGGTTTTCTGTAGTCTGGCAGCATCTGTTGTCTAGCATCCCCATGGGTGCTTGCAGGCTAGAGTGCTCATGGGGAAAAAGCTGGGCCCCTCGCTCAGCAACTCCTCCCCCATCCTCTGGAGAGCTGCAAATGGCTCATTTGCAGTGCTCATGCTCAGAGAGGATGAAGGAGGAGTGTGGATGGGGCGAGGGGGAGACACACAAGGGAACAGACAGAGTGGCCATGGTGCCCTGTGGGCAGCCTGGTGGCCAGGAACAGAGCCCAGCAGCCGTGGGACGTGGAGTGCTCCCACTGGGCTGCACTCCCGACGGCAGCCTCTTCCCCTGAGCGCTGCCCTCATCCCCACTTGGCCAATACTTGCCTCTCTGCTGGAGCAGAGCCCCATGGCCAGTGGCAGAAGAGGGACTGACACCGACCTCCCCTGGTCCAGCAGATTCCCTGGTTCTGAGGGTGCTGGACCAGGGCGTTACAACCTGTATAGTTATATCCTTTCCAGGACACCTATTGCAGTGCCTGGCTTGTGGGGATTTATCCCCAATATGCTGCACAGGAGTCTCGTTAGTTGGAAAATTAATTCAATTTTCCTTATCCGGAGGGGCGACAGGATGCAAATAAGTATTTAAGCACTGGTAAATATAAAGGGGGTTCAGTACAATTTGTGACCCCACTTTAGGGATGCTTGCAAAATATCAGACTCAGTGAGGGCTACGTACCCTTTACCATGGGCACGAAGACCTTAAAAAAGGGACAGGCTCAGCTGAATCCCGTCAGTAGTACTGAAGCCTTTCATGCTAAACAAGCCTTTGGACCCGCCCACGGGTACCGGTGTGGTTCTGCCAACTTCCAGAGATCAAAAAAGCATGAGTTGGACTCCCAGAAATCATGAGATTGGCTCTCAAATCATGAAATTTTAAGAAGAGATTATACTGCGCTTTTTAGCTCTGTCTCGATGACTGAATTCCCCTGCCCAGACCCAGGTGGGCATGTGTCGCTCGCTCTCCAGCACACAGAATCATAGAACACTAGGACTGGAAGGGACCTCAAGAGGTCATCAAGTCCAGTCCCCGCCCTCACAGCAGGACCAAGCCCCGTCCAGATCAGTGTTTCTGAAAGTGTCCCTCAGAATCACTCTCAGAAACACATTAACTGGCCGCCCCGCTTTGTTTATTTACCGGCGCCTTGCGGCTCCCGTTGGCTCCATTTCGTCCTTTGCAGCTCCCCTTTCTGAGGGTGATTCCGCAGAACACTTTCCGAAACACTGATCTAGATCATCCCTGATAGATGTCTGTCTAACCTGCTCTTCAATATCTCCAGTGATGGAGATTTCACAACCTCCCAAGGCAATTTATTCCAGTGTTTAATTACCCTGGCAGGTAAGAAGTTTTTCCTAATGTCCAACCTAAACCTCCCTTGCTGCAATTTAATGGACTGAATAACATGACTTTGCCCCCTGCTTTAGAAACCTTCACCCCCTAGATCTACTCCCTACCCCCGTCCAGAAATTAATCCTATCCACCAATCCCCTTCATCTGGGCTCTTCTCATGGTTCTTCACCCTTCCACGGTCTGGGGACGTTCCCCTTTCCCAGGCTGGCAGGGGAGCAGGGGCCTGTGTTCAGTAGCAGGAGCCCCCAATGTAGCTGACGAGGCTTTCTAAGTTAAAACTAAGCCTCACTTTTAGAGCGCTCAGGAGTTTGATTTTTTCCAGCCACCGCAGAAAAACTCCACCCCGCTCCTGACACTGGAGAGTTCTATGGTGCAATCAGGAGCGAGGCTTCACTTGATTCAGAAATCACAACCCTCAGGATCAATCTGCAAGAGCTGCCCCTCCCAGGAACCTGGGCTTTCTAGGGGTATTCTCCACAGGCTGCATTTGAGCCAATCTCTTAATCCAGCTTCCATTGCATTATAAAATTAAAACTGGCCAAGTTAATGGGAGAATCCCTTTACATTGCTAACTAAAAAACAGAACTCATTTTAGGTTCCTATTTTAATCTAGGTGGGAAAACCAGGCGAGGCATTCATTAGTCCCCTCAACTGTCCCAACCCCCCGCTTGACTCATTTTGTTATGGACACATTTACTGAAAGCAACATTGTCCTAGCTTAGACAAATTAGGGTGGAGAACCACTCTGCTAGTAACCGCAAGGTCAGCTCTTTCCACACATCTTTACCTCAGTTGGTTTTCAAATGTAAAGAGAACAAGAGCTATCCAGACCAGGCAAAGCAATTCCCAAAAGCTCAGGTGAAACAAACTTTCAATCAAGAAAGCAAACCCTAGCAGCTGCCAGTCGTGCGGAAAGGGGTGCTGCACAGAGTTAATCATGCACACAGTGGGAGAAGCCAGAAATCCACACTACAACTAGGGGTGTGTCTAGACTACAGAGTTTTGTCGACAAAAGTGGACTTTTGTCGACAAAACTATACCTGCGTCTACACTACCGCTGAGTTCTGTTGACACAACGTTGACAGAACTCAGCAGTTTTGTCGACACTGGTAAGCCTCATTTTACGAGGCATAACGCCTTCTGTCGACAGAGTTCTGTCGACAGAAGGTGTTAGTGCATCTAAATTGTTCTTTGCGTCTACACTGCCCTGTAGACAAAGCAGCTTGCTTTGTTGACAGAACTGAATGTAGTCTAGACGCTCTTTGTCAACAGAAGCTTTGTCGACAGTATCTGTCGACAAAACTCTGTAGTCTAGACGTACCCTAGGTTCAATTTATAAAAAGGCAATAACTCAGAGGTCTGCAGCATCCTCTGAGACGTCTGTGGAAAGGAAGCAGTCAGATAGGCAGAAGCGGCCTGTGTGCCTAGGTAGACTAGGCAGTTGCCTAGGGCGCCACTGGCCCAGGCACCTGATGATGACATCTTGGGGCACCAGGGTGCCCCATGATTACATCATGGCCATTGACGGGGCGCCGATCGCGCCTTCCAGCTGGGGAGCCAGCTGCCACAACCGGCCTCAGGCCGCTCCTGCAGGTAGGTGAGTAGGAGCTATCCTGGCTGTGCAGTGGGAATGGCATTAACACTCCTCTCAAGCTGCAGGCTTTACAAGAGGAAAAAAAACAAAAAATGGAACAGCTGCATCTCATCTCCTCCTGCCTGCAGATGCACAAAGCAAACCCCAGCCTTGCCCAACCGGGGAAGATATTCTGTAGGTTATGCTGATCAAGAATGGGTGTGCCACCCTGGGCCCAAGCTGCCTACGAACAACAAACGAGTGCTGCGGGGCTATACAAATGTGGATCCGCATCGGAGAGAAGCAGCCTCTGATCCGCAATCCGCTCCCCGCCTTTTCTGCAGATCCGCATCCAGACCTAGGCAGCAGCAGCAGGCTGCCTGGCAGCGCCTGGCTCTCAGGAGGAGCGTCTATGTGGGTGGCCGAGGGAGGCTTGTCTCACTGCGCCCTGCCAAGCGCCCCTGCTGGTGAGTGGGGTCATGGTGCTCCTGCAGAGGAGCGTGGTCGGGGCACGGATGCTTGTCCTGCTCCACCCTGCCCAGTGCTCCCCAGGGTGCGGGGCAAGTACACGTCCCACAACCCCACTTTCCAGCAGGAGCGCCTGCTGGGGCAGAGTGAAACAAACACCTGTGTCCCATCCACACTCCTTGGCGGAAGTGCTCTGACCCGCTCCCTGGTAGGCGCCGGGTGGGAGATGGCGCCCGTTTTTCCAGGGACTCTGGCCACTAATCTGCCTCTGCAGAGGTGCAGGGCTGGCCCCACCACTCACTCTTAAATGCCCTAAGAACTAGCGATGGGGGGTGTGTGGAGATGGGGCAGGGTCTCGCAGGGAAGAGACATGAGAAGGCAGAGACTGGTGAGGCTAAAGGGCAGCACAGGGACAGGCGTGGGTGGGGATGGGGTTAGAACAGACACTGCATCTCAGCACAGAGGCGGCAGCAGCGCAGGCTGGTCGATGCCGTTTTGTTGTATCCACATCCGCTCCGACATGTGGATTTGCAGGGCTCTGCGGAAATCCCCTTACACACAGAGACGCTCCCGGGCACGGCTACCTTTCCCCGTGAAGAGCGGGCAGAGGAAGCAAGACAAAAACCGAGTAGTGACTGATCCAAGCCCTGCTTCCCTGGGGCCTCAGATGTGAATGGATTCAAAACGCAAGATCAGAGCATGCATCTGGCAACAAGCTCATCTCACGGTCATGGCAGCAACCCGCATCTTCCTAGGCCCTCTGCTCCTCCATCCCATTCACTCTCCTCTCTTGGCACTAGTTTAATGTAGAACACCGGAAAGGATGTCCCCTTTTTTATGGTAATTGAGATGTAGCCGTGTTAGTCTGGTCTTGCTGAAACAAAAGACAGGACTATGCAGCACTTTAAAGACTAACCAGATGGTTTATTAGGTGATGAGCTTTCGTGGGCCAGACCCACTTCCTCAGATCAAACTGTGGAAGAAAATTGGCACGACCATATATACCAAAGGGATACAATAAAAAAAAAAAAAGAACTTTGTTATGGTCACCTGGGAAGCATGAGCACAGTTAAGCAACAGGTCACCCTGACCACACTATCCGGTTAAAGATTCCCCTAGTCTGCCTCCCGCAACCCTCCTCAATGCAAATGGAGAAGCTTGGGGAGCTGGAAGGAGATCCTTGATTTGCTGTGGTTAAGTTGCAACACAGAGTCTATGTCACTGAGTTTCTCCCAGCCACAGCCTGCCGGTGTACTCCAGACTGCAACTGCCCTGGAGCGCGCTCTCCAAGGGTTACTTTGCTGTTCCAGTAAGTGGGGAGGGAAGGAGAGCAAGGCTTCTGCGGAGGGAACACCCAACAAGTACAAGATAATAGCATGAAGGGGAAGAGACCCCTCTAATAATGGAGTGAATCAAGGAGCCGGTTTCAATTCCCCCCAGCATTTGGAGGGATGACTGCCCAAGATGAGAAGTACTCTTTCCTACTCATCCCAAGGAATCCCCATAAAGCAGGGCTGGGCAAGATGCGGCCTGGGGGCTGGATCCAGCCCGCCTCCCACGTTGATCCGGCTCGCCGACTGCATCTGGCTGTGTCTATTTATATCCCCCTGTCTGTGCTACTGATTTCCAGGAGGTGGCTCAGGCAGCAGGATCCTACTGAAATGGCTCCCAGCTCCCAAGCATGGTGCTCCCCGGCCGAGGCTGGAGCCATGAGCCCTTTAAATAGCCGCAGCAACCCTGGGCAGCTGCCAGGCAATGCGACAGCAACCAGGCCGGGAGTCTTTTGCTATGTTTTTAATTCAAAGTCTCCAGCCTCAGACAAGTCTGGGAGAACGCTACTTGCCAGCCCTGCCCCTTCTGCCCTCGGCCACACCACTTCCAGGGGTAGAGCCATCTCATGACCATGTACCAAAAGTCAATAAGTGCACCTCCCTGGCGAAAATTCCTGCCCACCCCTGCCATAAAACATCTCTTAACAACACACTGAACTTTCAAAACATTTTCTCCTAGGGAAGATCCTACAAGGATTTCCCTCATCCCGAGCAAAGCTTTCCTGGCTAAATGAGATTAACCAAGATTCAGAACAAAATTTCATCATCACTACTTCTTATAACAACAGATCTTCCCTTTTTTCCTCACCCCCAACAAGTTCTGGGAATTCGGAGCCAGTGCAAGCAGAGTCTCGGTGCCCTTTGCAAGGATTGTTTACTTACTGCATCTTTTTCCGGATTGCAGACTTTCACCCAAAGGATATGATCTAGGAGCCAGTCAATGGGCTTGTCCTTGTAAAACATAAGTATAAACTCCACAATCAAGCTGAGATCCAGCGACTTGAACATCTTTCCTGCAAGCACATTTGGGTGGAGGAGAGAGAGTAGATACAGGTAGTGAAAAACAAAATCCAGCAACTGAAAATAACTGCAAGTTCCTCGGGGGAAAAAAACTGGTCTCTCTCCTTGCATCTCTAATGGAGTTTCAAGTAATCGTAGATCTGCGCAGTCGGGGCTTATGCACCAGCATCACTGATGCTGCTAGTACAATTCTAAAATTAGCATTTGTTATAGATCTGTTGCTACAAAGCTAGCAACACACACCATTATGAGTCCCACTTAAGTGCATGGAACACTCACACCAGATGGAAAAGGAGCACCAAAGAGTAGGCTTGCCAGATGCTTTCACCAAAAATCCAGAACATGGAAAAAACCCAAAAAACTAGGAGACCAAACTTGTTGGAAAAAAAGGTGTTGTGCCTTTTAAGAATCCCCACACTCCTCACTTTCCCCTCCACCCACACCAGATGCGGCAGGAGAACAATATCCCCGCTGGCCTTCCCTCCAAAAGAAACAGACATTTTTACATTTTACATGTGTGGTATTTTCTGGGTTCCTTTTTGTTTGTTTTTTAAACCAGACAGGGGCCAGAAAAAAAAACGGACTATCTGGGTGAAAACCCTACCAGAGGGGTATTCATGAAAATGTCATTCATGGACATTTTCCTGCCCTGAGAGTTCAGAAAGAGTTCAAACCCCATCAAGTTAATATAGTCCTGGCACGGGAATAGACAAAACCGCTTGCATAACTACACAGTCCTGAAATAGTTCTCAGTAGATATAAAACTGCTCCAGCCCAGGGTCTGAATGATTTATGGCAGGTGCTTCTCACTCTCATCCAACCAAGAAACAACCAGTCGCATCCAGGAAGCGAGCCTTTCTGCTGGGCCACTGAGTAAATTTATTTTTATTAAAAATGGATCAGAATATTGGCATCTGAAGGCTGGTAGAAGAGGTCACCTGGTCAAGCACAGACATGCACCGCCCCCTACCCACTTGAACGCAAAGTCTCAGAGGCAGCTTGGCCTGCCTAAGACACCTCAATCAAATCACCATGGCCGTGAGAAGTTAGGGACAGTTGCTGCTGCCATGCTCTGTGTTTTATCTGAGCTGCATCCACAGGAAGGCGACTGACACGCAGGTTGTCGTTCCATCTGTGCAACTGTTCCAGAGTCAGGAGGACAGAAAACTCTGCAGTAAAGCTTTCTTTTCTGGGAAAGCCAAAGGATCACTATAAAAGTGTTAGAGGAGGCCATGCCTCTGGCATTCCATTTCCCTTTCCTAGGGGAAAACTTCTCCAAGCAAAGGGATTGCTGTTTGTAGGATCCAGCCAGCTATGCCATAGCCATGTCTGGAAGAGTATTCAAGGTAATGCTCCCTCTCAGCCCCCCATCCACGAGCGGATTTTTTCCCCCCGACCCCTAATTTTTTTTTTGATGTGCGCTGAGGCATGTGTGAATGTGCACCACCACTAGAAACACAAAAGCTATCACTGTGGGTGCTCTGCTCATCAGCTAGGCTGCATGAGAATTTCTCCCGAGGGGCTGCACAAGCACCCATCGCTGCTTTGGGGAGGAAAGGTGGGGGGAGACAGTTACCAATAAACCCAAGCTGAGAGAAAGAGCAAAGTTCTTCATTGTGCTGAGATAGTTTGGCTTGGCCACAATGTCATCCTCCAGCTGCAAGGGGGGAAGGAAACTCAGCACCGACCACAAAAAACACACACGCTCTGTTCCAGTCTCTGCACTGCACAGCATTCAACATGAGAGGGCTGGGGAAAGTTTTGGCAAAGGCAGAGTTTATTGCGGGAAGACACATTGTACAGACCCTTCTAAATCTAATCCAACAGGCTAAGGGAAAACTGACAACTACTCTGTGAATCTCCACCTCTTCCATTCCTGGGCACAATTCTTTAGCCCGCTTGGCCAAAGGGAACTTTAACAGCTGGGTTAGATAAGCTCCAGCTCAGACACAACTGCTCTTTGGGACTGCTACTTTTCTAGCCATTCGAACAGGTTCCACTGTAAAGTTTTTCTGCAGTGCGGCACCACAGGCAGACTGATTTCAGAGCGAGCCTTCACCCCTCTGCCCCCCCCCACCAAAATCGCATGCTGCCCATAATGTAGAGCTAATATACTTCAGAAGACTCTATAGCGCACTACAATGAAGACTTACGTTTTGGCTTGCAAAGGGTTAATCTAACCTGGTCCAAAGTAAATGTCTTTGCACGCGCAGAAAAAGAGAAAGAGAGAGAGAGAGAGGGGTGGTTGAAGGAGAAATGCAGAGGCGTTCCTGAATCGGACGTGAGAGGACAGAATGTGAAAGGGACAGCATATCCTATGGGTGTTACTTTTGGAGCAGAGTCAACATCACAAACACTCCAACAACATTTGAATTAACCTCTTCTCCCTTTCCCAATCAAAGACTCCACTTTATGTTTTTTCTCACTCACATCCCGCCCCCCCTCACTCAACTGATACAAGACACACATCTTTGTGAATTCAAGCATTCATTCATCAAACTTACCTGCACGTAGTAAATGCCTTTGGACTGGGCATACATCATTAAAAAGCAATAATCTAGGTTCTGTTTTGTTCTCCACCTGCAACACAGACAGAGTGATGAGAAATGCCTTCCTACCAGCCAGCAGATGCTTTATTTGGGGAGTGTGACTGTCTGTATATTCACCCCTTTTAACAGTACTAGGATACATTGGGTGTGTCTAGATTACATGGCTCCATTGACAGAGCCATGTAGATGAGTGGATAAGGTTTACTGGAGCGGTCGACAAAGGCTTCCCTTGTCGACCGTGGCGTGCCTAGACTGCCCCGCTGTGCTGAATCAGCTGATTGTCGGCACAGCACGGTGGCCATTTTGATGTAAATGAAGCACGATTATTTAAATCGCCGCTTCATTTTGCTATGTCTAGTATACTCATCTACATGGCTCCATCAACAGAGCCATGTAGTCTAGACACACCCATTGTGTACAAAGTTAAGGTGCCATTTGAAAAAAATCATAATTTGCTGATCATTATTGTCCTGGTAAAGTACGAGTGGCAACACTGTACGTAAAGTTATGAGGCTCCTCCACATGATATTATTAAGACATGTTCCAAGTCAGGGGGACAGCCACAGGGTAGTTCCCCAGACACAAAAGGTTAGCAAATGCCTCAGTCAGGTGTCTATAAAAATCAAATGGACCATCACTTTGCCATTCTTTGGCAGCAAAGAGGATGTGAATGAAAAATCTACATCATGACAAAAAAAGACACACAAAAAAAGATGGAGGCTCACATCTACGCAGAGAATTTCTCTCTTGCACCTCAGCTGGAACTTATTCTTGCAGCTGAGAAACAACTATAAGAGAGTAGACGTCACAAATTATTGCTTCTTTCCTCTCTCCCCTTGGCACACACAAAGCCAGAAACAACAAAGGAAAAAACTTTGGACTGGGGAAGGGATCCTGACTGAAAGGAATTCAGCCAGTAAGACTGCTAGAATATGTGGAAAGAGACCTTGTTTTGAATTCACTTAGTTTCTTAAGTTAGGCACTTGTTGCATTTTACTTTTATTTTCTTGTAAATCAATTCTGACTTTTATGCCTTATTGTAGTCATTTAAAATCTCTCTTTTGTAGCTAAACAAACTTTGTTTTATTGTTTCATGTAAACCAGAATGCGTTTGGGATTAAAAGGATTTGTGCGCTTCATTTTCTATTAATAAAATTACAGACTTTCTATGTGCATGCATTGTCCAGGAGAGAGCAGGGCTGTACAGGACACACGTCTCTGGGGCAAGCCGGGGAGTGGGAATTTGCTGGTGTTGCTTTGCTGTGGAATGCAGGAGTGGCTGGCCATAGCACTTATCGACTATATAACTGAGACAGTTTGTCTGTCCATTCAAGAACTCCTCCTAAACCAGGGTGGAGAACCTAAGGCCCCGGGCCGGATTTGGCCCCAAGTTTGCCTGGACCCCGCCCCTGAGGCTCAGGGCTCCTCACTCTCCAGCTTGGAATGGGATTGCTTCTCATACAACCACACAGAAAAGAGACAATCACCAGGCAGGTGAAAGGGGCTGGCTGGGGGTGCGCCCCCCATCCGGGACTGCCCCAGCCCTGACCTTCTCACCCCCCAAGCACCCTTTTGGGGGGGCCCTGAAGCTCTCCTCCCCCAATTTCTAGAGGGACATTGCTGGCTATTCCCCTTCATCAGGGAGCAAGGGGATAGTGCACAGTTTGCTGCATTCCTCACTCTGGCTGGGGAGCACAACGGGGCAGACTAACCTGGACCTGCCCGCGGGGACATGCACCCCTCCCCCAGCTGGGTCTGCTGGTGCTACAACCGCTATGGAGAGGTGCTTCTCACCTGGCCCCAAGGTATTACAGTGAGAGAGGGTTGGGTTGTCCTCTCTTCCTGGGGCAACCTGCATCCTGAACCCCTCCTCCACAGCCCCACCCCAGAGCAATGATTCAAAAAATGAAAATGTCCATGCATCATATTTAAAAAAAAAATTAAAGTTAAGGTACTGAGCAATGCTGGGTAAATCTTTTAGTAAAATACAGCTGGGAGCATGTTAGATGTTGGTGACTATGAGAGCAGACCAGGAGTAGCTGCTCTCACAGTGAAGCAGTGTAAAACGCAACCCAGACTAGAGAACTAAGGGGACAGAACTGTTAATCAGCCCAGATTATACCCTGGGTAATGTCACAGCAGAGACGCAACCCAATACACCTTTCACTTTCCCCAGAGGAGCAGATGAGTTAAAGAAAGCCTGTTCTTTACTGTTTAATCAGTTTGAAGTTAACTGGAAACATGTGGCTTCTTGAGAAAAGTATCCTGTGTCTCAGTCTGACTAGTGGAAAACAGACATGGGCCACATGACAGAGCAAGCCAAGCCAAATAAAGCTAACAACAATACATATTCACTATGTCCTTAGCTCTCACAACATGTTTTTCCTTTCTGAGTCAGGATAGTGGAGAATCAAAAATCTGAATAAAACATTATTGAAGTCATCTAGTTATTACCTGACTCTTTCCTTGGGATCGCCAAAAGATTCCCGGAGGCGAGAGAAGTCTGGATAGAAATGTGGAGAGGGAGAAATGACTTCCAGGAGACCAGACTGTATTTCCTTGGGGAACCTGAGAGACAAAGGTGGAAGCAAACAATTGCTGCAACAACCCTAACATGAGAGATTCAGTTAGTTAATGCACTTGCAGGCCTAGCTCTAACAAAAAGGACACCTGTAGGATACTTGTCATGCGATTTTAAATTCCATTTCCCCCCACTGTTTAAAAGCCCCATGCAAGCCTGGAACAGCAATCTGTTTCTTTATCAGTATTTGTGTCTCTATGGCATGCAAACATGCTGATCTGTTAAGGTAGGTTGCTCAGGGAATGCTGAGCTGACAGCACAAATTTACTTTTTAAATAGTGATAGAAACCAAGATAGCTTCCCCAATTATCACCTCTAATACCATTAACTCGCAAACATCCCACTCTCCCCACCTCTAATATCATCAATTCACAAACACTTACCTTCCTTCCTCCCCCCCCCGCATCCCCCTCCTGTTCTGCAATGTGATTTGTCCTTTTCATATTTGTTCATTTTTTTTAATTGTATCCTTTGGTATATATGGTTGTGACTATTTTCTTCCACTATTTGATCTGAGGAAGTGGGTCTGGCCCACGAAAGCTCATCATCTAATAAACCATCTTGTTAGTCTTTAAAGTGCTACATTGTCCTGCATTTTGCTTACTTTTTAAAGTGATCCACAAGCGTTGTGTGGGGAATGCTACAAACCTTGGCACTCACCATAGAAGGGAATCTAAGCCTTTTAGGTTCCTCCCCTCAAGTCACACTGCCTGGTTCCCACTAAGCTACAACAGTCCAACATAGCCATAAGGAGGCATCCCTGTAGGAGTAGCAAGCTGGCATGTTTGGGAGTGGAGGGGAACTCCATCCAGGGTGTTAATAAGCATATGATGAGGTTTTGCAAATATTTCAGAATATTTTAAAGGAGACTTGGCAAAGCCCCTGGATGGGCTTTTTAAAAGGTCACTTATGAGGCCTTCCCTCACAAACTCACTCCCATGGGTGCCCGTGGTAGGTCTGATGCAGCAAAGTGGGAGCAGACCAGCTGCCACTCGGAGGTGGAAGAACCTGAAGAAGCCATTTGGATCCACTTATGTCCAAGTATCCCATCTATCGCTGCTGTCTGGAGTGAGCTGCCTTTAACTCCTTTAAAACTATGAGTCTGCTTTAAGAAAAACATCAGCATTTATTTGCAGGTAACACCCTACAGATAATTAACTTAACCCCAGCAAACCTGGGGGACACAAAGTCTGATTTACTAATATCAGGTAGGTGTACTGCTGTTTGCAAAGTGTCATGAAGTAAACAGCTGTTTGCAGAAATTATATTAAGCTCATTTGATAGGCTACCAAAACCATTGTAGTTGGTCTTGGTTATCATCAGAAGACCACTTGGAATTCTGCCTGTTTTCTACTGCTGATTGATTTTTCATCATGCCAAACAAAGCTACTGAAGAATATTCTCTCCGTGATATGGTTAAGAACAATGTAAAGGGTCACAGTCAATAAAAATATCACATTGTCTGAAAAATGTGTATCCATTATTACTATGAACAATAGTCAAAGAGATCCCTGTAACTGCAAGGGATTATTAGACAGAAAGACAGCTTTTCCCCAGTATTTTACACCGTACGTTTTAGCAGCACTTGTATAATTGTTTAATCCAGGAGCGGGCAATAATTTTTGATGGGGAGGGAGTGCACACTAAGATTTTGGAAAGTGGCCAACGTCTGCACTTTTCTATGGAGGGCATGTGGGGTCTGGGACAGAGGTTGGGTGCAGAAAGGAGCTTGGCGTAGGGACTGGGGTACAAGAGAGGGTGTGGGGTCTGAGAGGGAGTTGAGGTGAAGGAAAGGGTTGTGACCTGGGGCAGGGACTTGGGATGAAAGGTTCTGGAGGAGGTATGGGTGCAGGAGAGAATTCTGGTCTAGGGGTGAAGTATAGGAGGGAGTCTGGCCTCAGGCTGCTCAAAATGGCTGGCTCTCTGCTCCAGGTGCCAGAGGGAATGTGGGGAGGCTTTGCGTGCTGATCAAGAGGCAAAAATCTCTGAGCTCCCCTTGGCTGGTTTCAAGCTGAGAGATTTTGCTGGGGGCCAGGCAGTGTGTGAAATCTTCTCCTCCCACTGGCACCCAGAGCAGAGAGCTACAAGGAGCAGCAAGACACTTAAAGTGATGTGGGGGTGCTCTGAAGCAGCTGGCTGCTCTGTGCCTAAAGGTCTTGGTGGGGTGGCCTGTAGACTGGATTAGGCAGCCCAGGGCCAGATCCAATGGCTTGGTGGACTGGATCTGGCCTACGGGCCACATCTTGCCTGCCCCTGGTTTAACATAGGGATGTAATAGTGTAGATGATTAACCTATAAGCTTTTGCTTCTCAGTTAATGCTATAGACTACACACATTTTCCTCCCCTCCCCCCCACCAGTAAATTTTTTAGCAGGCTGGCCAGCAGCCCTGCTCCGTCCTAGCTTGCTCTGGGTCTGGGACTTACTCCTATTGTGGTTCTGCATTTGAAGTGTATTAGGAGCCAGGCAGGCAGCTTGGGTCAGTTCTGGCTCACGCTGGGTCCAGGAGCTTAGCATCCCCGGACAGGGATTGCTGCCACCCCACGCTACTGCCTCTATATCAGAGACAACAGCACAGAGTGACAGGCAGCTGGTCCACTAGAGTAGCTAGTTTTTAAACTGGTTCCCCTTGCGAACCAGCTCCCATCTGGCACTCTGAGCTGCTGCCTCTGATACAGAGGCAGCAGTATGGAGAGGCAAGGGGATCCTCAGGAATGCAGCCAGAGTGCACTGCCTGCTGGCCCCACCCCCAGGGACTGCAGAGTAACCAATAAGAATTCATGAGGTTAATCAACTATTCAGTTAACCGATATTTAACATCCCCAGTTTAACCCCTATAGTAAATCAGTTTCCCATATTTATGTGTGATTATTTACGCAGCGAGAGGCGGAACCAGACATGATAGACAGGCAGACTGACAGAAACAGTCCCTGAAACTACTTTTAGCTTGTTTTTTAAATGCTGGGATGTTGCTAAAGGAACGCTTGTGCTTTCCCTGAGCAACACAAATTTAGACTGTTTAATGCACCTTGATGAAATTAATCAGCTCATTATCCCCTTGATCAGTACACATTCCTGCCACAAAAGGCAGAAGGGTGGATCTGCCTTGCTTTGCACAGGCAGACAGAGGGCTCCATTTCAGCTCTTCTACAAGCCCAGGAAGAATACAATGTTTTCCAAGCATGTCCTAACTCCTCTCCTATTGCCCACTCAGGAATTGCACTGAGCCATTAGGTCACATCGACCTTTCTACAGTCTTGCTCCTGGGGTTACTGTGGTTCTTTGGAAACATGCAGACACAGAAGCTGGACTGGAATCAGAGCCTCCATTGTTATAATCACTTTCTTCTATCTCTGAGCTGTGCTGCTGCTATTACCTAAACCAGTCCTTCTCAACCTTTTTTTATAAAGTACCCCTTAAAAAAAAAAAGTACCTACAGTTTTCAGATACACCATTTTTTTTCTACCATTGCAAACACATTTGTTTAAACAACTTAATCGTAGCTGGGCGGGCAAAATTTTGGGGCGTAAAAAGTACAAAAATAATAAAGTGCTGCAAAACTTAAAACAAAAATTCAGTTTTCTCCAAATTTCAGTTGTGTTGACGTACCCCCACCACTCCTCTCAAGTACCCGAGGGTACTCGTACCATTAGTTTAGAAACACTGACCTAGACCAGCTCATCACAGCTTTCTTTCGAGCACTTAAAAAAAAAAAGCCACGGAAGGAGGAATGTGATGCTGCAGCAGCAGCTACCATTCCAGGGCAGAATGTAACTGTTACACTATAGTAAACTTCCGATAATCCGGCACTTTTGGGACCCAGGGGGTGCCGGATTATTGGATATGTCAGAGTACCGGAAGGGGGGCTATAAGGGATCTGGGGGGAAAGGGAGGTTGGCGAGGAGCTGCGCAGCATGGCCAGCACTCCAGCTGCTTTGCCCCCAGCTTCCTCAAGTCCGCTGCTACTGGAACTGACCAGAGGGGGACTTGGGGAAGCTCTGCCCCTGGTTTCCCCAAGTCCACCGCTGGTCAGTTTCAGCAGCGGCGGACTTGGGGAAGCCAGGGGGGCAGAGCAGCTGGGGTGCTGCTGGGTTGATCCCGCAGCGCCGCTCAGGTGAAGGGCGGCACTGCGGGACCAACCCGGCAGCACCCCAGCTGCTCT